AGAGAGGTCCCAACAGCAGACTTTCCCATCGCAATACGTTTTTTGACTTTTGCAAATAAGGCAGAGTTCTTCTCTATTTTTTACCTTAGGCTTATCTCAGGAGGGAGGGATTCAGGTAATACGAACTAAGAATTACGTAGACTCTTAAGGAAAACCTTATTGCCTCAGGATGAACGCCAGCTTGTATTACACCTCCCTCCTATACTGATACAGCATTTGGTTTATTATTAATATTTAATTTTATGTTCAGCTTCCCACAACTAGCAAGTGGTGCTAAGAATATGTCATCATGGAAAAAAACAATTGTTTTTTAAAAAATTATAAAATTAGGTGAATTCTTAGGAGATAGAGGAGCTCATAGTCAGGATATGTTGCCGAGAGGCTATTCTCTGGAAAGGGACATCATGCTCATAAAGATGAATGATGAGTGACAGAGAAGATCCTTAATTAGATGGAGCCACACAGTGACTACAGCAATCCACTCAAGTGTGTCAGAAATGATAAAGATGGCATAATATAGGGCCGGGTTCAGGTGTGTTGTTCCACCTTTCTTGTAGTAGAACCCACCAGCTACTTTGTGGAAGAAGGATGAGCAAGTCCTTCCATGTGAATTACAAACTCTAGAGAACCCATTGGAGGGTAAGGTATGTGACTGTTCCATCTCAGTAGCGATAAATTGAATAATTAGTAGATAGTAAATTTTTAAAATTCAGGGTTATAAAAAAAATAGAAGTCTTCCTTTTATTATAAGCTGGTTTTGCAATGGATCTAAAAGATAAGATTGTTACTATAAAACTACTTCTAAACCTTGACTTAAGAACAAGAAAAAATAGTGTCACTTTTTATATCCAAGTCAATACAAAACCAGTCGCAAAATGTGAAATGTATTTACCTGTTTGCAAGTGTGTTCTCTGTAATTCCAATAAGCCATTCATGGAGAAATAAGGAAAAGTTGTACGGTATTAGGCTGTTAACCAAAGTGACTGATAGTGACCCTATGTAAAATAGTCCTAAACTCTGCTCTACCTTTGCCCATCTTATTGTCTCTGACACTCCCACCCCCACCCATTACCTCAGTCACTGACTCAATCAATTTCTTCCTCTCTTGTGCTGTCCCTATACCCTTCCAAGCATGATGTCCTTCTCCAGGGACTGCTTCCTCCTTGCAACATGTCCAAAGTATGTCAGATGAAGCTTCAGAATCCTTGCCTCCAAGGAGCAGCCTTATCTCACCCTCTCTAGGACAAACCTGTTTGTTCTCCTAGCAGTCCATGGTATATTCAATACTCTTCTCCAGGACCACAGCTCAAAGGCTTCAATTCTCCGTCTGTCACTCCTAGCCATTGTCCAGCTTTTTGATGCATAGCAAGTAATTGCAAAGACTATGGCTTGAATCAGGCACACCTTAGTCTCCAGACTGACACTGTTGCTCTAAGTGGTTCAAATCTGTCAGCTACTCCTTGAAAGAAAGAGGACAGTTTTCTAGATGTACAGCCTTGGAAATGGATGGAAGGTCAGTAATGTTGTTGTTGTTTGTTAGAACTAAATCTATGTAGTGAGTTTGGGTGTTGGTTTTTTGTGTGTTTCTTTTTTTATGGTGAGAAAATTTTGTATGTAGAATTAGCCAGCTGGACTCAGTTTAGATGATCCCAATTTGTTGGCAACATCCAAAGCATCGTAGTCAAGAGCAAGTCGAACATAGGCCTTCTTCTCTTCATCAGGCCTAATCAAAGTGTTGACCTTGGCCACATCAGTGTCATAGAGCTTCTTTACAGCTTGTTTAATTTGGTGCTTGTTGGCCTTGACATCCACAATGAACACTATTGTGTTGTTATCTTCTATCTTCTTCATGACTGACTCAGTGGTCAGGGGACATTTGATAATGGCATAGTGGTCAAGCTTATTCTTCCTGGGGGCGCTCTTCTGGGAGTATTTGGGCTGCCTTTGGAGTCTCAGCGTCCTAGGCCGCTGGAAGGTGGGCGATCTGCCGATCTTTTTTTTTTTTGGCTGTGGATGCCCTTCAGGACTGCTTTCTTGGCCTCTAATGCCTTTTCTCTGGCTTCAGTTTTGGGAGGGTCAGGGCTTCCTTCTTCGCTTTCGGTGCCATCTTTGTAAAAAGGCGGGTGTTGTTTATCTATCTCTATTTGTATATCATCTATATCTATATAATTACTTTTGTGGGTGAAACACAACACAATTCAATTCACTGCATTGAAGTTGGTTCTAATTTATAGCAAGCTTCCAATGTTTTCTGAGTAGACTCTAGCACCCTATATACTAAGCCTCAGAGCCCATCATGAATGGAAAGAACATTAAATAAATATGTGATTAGTCATTTGTGGACAGGAAGAATGGCTGGGATGGCGATAGAGATTTTTGTTGCTTAGGCAAAAGACAGTTCAAACCCACTCGGGAGACTTGATCTGCTCCCCTAGAAATATCCACAGGAAAACCCTAGTAAAGTCGTTCTATTTTGTTCTACAGAGTTGCTAGGACTCTGAAGAGAGTGCACAGAACAGGGCAAGCTCTGAGAGGGAGCCACCCTCTTGGTGACCTGGAGTGACTTTGGACCTCATAATCTGAAACAGCTCCAAATAGGGAGCCCTGGTGGCATGAAGCCTAGGAAGTTAGGTTGTTGATTCAAAGGCATTGATTGCCTCAGGAATCTATCAGCAGCTCTGCGAGAGAAGAATGGCCTTTTGCTCCCTTCTATTTCATAGAAATAACAGAGTCTGAAACTAAACCAAACCAAACCAAGCCAGCTCTTAGAACTCCCAGCAGTCTCGGGTCTAACCCTAGGCTTTTAGAGGACAAACTGAGATAAGCAGGGAGCCTTGGGACTGAGAACGCCTGGAACTCCGCCCTTCATTATCAGCCTAGTAGACGCAGGTCTACTAAAAGCGCGCGAAGAGCTAGTTCTCAGTAGTTTGTCCCTGAGGTCGCCTCGTAAGTGAGCGGCGCACGCCGAGCGTCTCCTTGGGCCGCTATTGCCATGGTTGCTCCTGGTGACGTCGCCCCTGCCGGCGAGGGGCTGCTCTATGCCGAGTACTTGCCGCCCTCGGCCAAACGATCAGACGCCGACATCAACCACGGACTGGTAAGTCCTATGGCCGCCCTCCGCCCTTTCTTCTGTCCCCTCACACGGAAGCCCTGGCAGCCCGTCCGCCCTGCGTGCCTCCCTGGCCCCGCCCCGTGCGCGTCACTGCGCGCAGCCTGGCTCTCCCTCCGAGCCCTTGGACTCCCCACGTTCGTCCTTATCTCTGTGTCAGTGCTCCTACACGGAGCATCAGAGACAAGTTAGAGCGTCCCTGTCCCCTCCAGGAGCTCCCAGTCTTTTCAGAGAGCCAGGCAGTTGTATATGCCACGATAGATTGGTCTTTCGGGCTTGTGATGACAGGCGGGGAGAAAAGGATATTTAAATTAAGGCTCCAAAAGCTCAGTAGGAGAAATGAACCCAAGCGATTAGGGAAGAGAGTCTATAAAGTGGCAAGCCAGAAGAAGATGGCTTAGTCAGAAATTGTTGTGGTGTTGCTAGGTGTGGTCAAGCCGGAACACATGGAAAGCACGTGTTCTGAGCTGATTTTACTAGGGTTTGCATCATCTTCATAATCTCCCCTGTGCTTAAGCTCATTGTTTTAGTCCTTGGGTCAATTCATTTCCTTGAGGGTCTTTTGCAGTGCCCCCCCCCTACTTTTCCAGATATCATTATCTTTTTCTTTTTTAAAAAAATAATTTTAATGAATGTTTACAGAGACTTTGGATTTCCATTCATTCATTCACTGTTGCCTTTTTCTCCCTGTCCACCCCTACCCCCTCAGTTCGCTCTTCTCTTTGAAAAGTAAAAAAAAAAAAAAAAAAATTTTTTCATTGGTATACAATCCCCCCGCCCCGAGTACACTCCACTATGCAGCCTTTATTCTGGACTCTTGTTATAACCATAATACCCAATCATATATAGCTTTTAAAATGTTCTCTCCCTCATCTGTTTCAATGCAATATACCTCATTTATTCAATCTTCCTTAGTCTCATCCCCAAACCTGATGTCAGTCCCGTTCTACAACAGTGGCACCATGCAGTATTTGTCCTTTTATGACTGAGGTATTTCACTCAGCATAATGTCCTCCAGGGTCACCCATTTTTAATAATATTTCATGAGGTCCTTATTTTTCAATGCAGCGTAGTATATTCCATTGAGTGAATCTACCAGAGCTTCTCTATTCATTCATTCGTTGATCAATATCTTTTTCTAAGGGACTGACTCTTTTTGATAACATGCCCAGCATATGTAAGCCAAGTCTCACTGTCCTTATTTTTAAGAAGCTCTGACTGTTGTAGTGCTTCTTCTAAGATGTGTAGTTGTTGTTAGGTGCCATTGAATCATAGTGACCCTGTGAACAAAGGCGATGGCACTAACTAAGTTGTGCCATCCTCGCCATTCTCACCATACCTAATGTACTCAATCCTATTGCTTCAGTCAGATACTGTTCTAAATCTGAGCATTCTAATTAAGACAGCCTAGGATGAAGGATTGGCCATCCACTTCCAGGCCTTCGAAAACCCTCTGTACAATAGAGCACACTTAGAATAGACTAGCAGATAAGGCAACTGAGGCTGAGCCCTCAAATTTGGAAACACGAAGGAGGAGTAACAGTTGTAAGCAGACACTAATGATTGGAACGTGGGAGATGGAGTGACTCAGTGACTACGGTAATGAGGGCAGGTATATCAAAGACAGTATGGTTGACTCAGGATAGAACAGGGGTCAGAGCTCTTGTTGATAAGGGTCCCTGTGAGTCACAAGTGACTCAATGGCACATAACAACAACCAACAACAATTACTTCAGTCACAATGTTGATACATCTTGTTGAGGACTTTCCTCTATTTTGCTGAGCTTTCGCCCTTCCAAGCATGATGTCTTTTCCTAAGGACAAGACCCTCCTGTCAACATGCTCAAAGTATGTGACCAAATATCACCTCTTTGTCACATAGTGGCTGCACTTTTTCCAAGATTTATTTGGTTTTTGGGAGTCCATGGGATTTTCAGTACTCTTCTCGGACACTACCAATCAAAAGTATTATTTGCTCTTTTGTGATTGTTAGTCATTTCCCAGCTTCCGGATGCATAGGAAGTAGGGTCAGTATTATGAAAGAAAATATGGCCTAGGTTTAGATTGTATTTGGTAAGCATATTGAAAATGTTGTTGTTGTGGTTATGTACCATCGAGTCGTTTTCGACTCATAGCAACCCTATGCACAATAGCCCTAAACCCTGCTCTATCCTGCGCCAACCGCACTGCCTCTGACACACCCATCCCGATTACCCCAGTCACCAAATCAATCCATCTCATAGAGGGTCTTCCCCTCCTGTGCCGTCCCTCTACCCTCCCAAGCATGATGTCCCTCTCCAAGGACCC